AAGTGGACTCAGGTTGCATTATTTCTGGCAGTCTGTAAAGGCCCTTAGAGAGCTGGGTAGGTTTAGCCCAGGGAAGAGAAGGTTTAGAGGTGATAGGATGGTCCTGTTTAAGTATTTGAAGGGATGTCATATTGAGGAGGGAGCAGGCTTGTTTTCTGCTGCTTTAGAGAATAGGACTCAGAACATTAGGAGGCACTTCCTGGCAGTAAGGGCGGTTCGACAGTGGGACACACTCTTCCCTCGGAGAGTAGTGGAGTCTCCTTCTTTGGAGGTCTTTAAACAGAGGCTGGATGCCATCTGTCGGGGATGCTTTGCTTGTGAGTTCCTGCATGGCAGAATAGGGCTGTACTGGATGGCCCTTGTAATTATAATTATTCTATGTATTTATATCCCGCCTTCTTCCCGGACTCAAGGCTCTTGTGGTCTTTTCCAACTTCCAATGATTCCCAGTCCGCCCATGGAAACCCACTGGATGACCTTGGACGAGTCACACACTCTCAGCCCCAGAAATCCCCATGACAAGTTCACCTAAAGGTCGCCACAAGACGGGAAAGGCCTGAAAGCCCACTACAACAAAATTTTCTGCCGCTGGGCAGCAGTGAGAATCTTTTTTTAAAAAATCAGGATCTCTCCCTTCTCCTCTCGTTAGGTAAAGGCTGTTGTTGCTGAGTGTGTGTGTGTGCCTTCAAGTCGTTTCCGATTTATGGCGAGACGATTACGGGGTTTCCTTGGCAAGATGTGTTCCCAGGGGGTTTGCCCTTGCCTTCCTTTCCCTGAGGTTGAGAGGGTGTGACATCCAGAGAAATGAGTATGGTCACACTTTCCTAGGTGGTGAAGAGAAACATCCCCCCATTTAATTCTTTTCTTTTCTTTTTAAATTCCTTGATTGATTCGGGCTTGAGAAGGTGCAGACTGAGAAGAGGTGGAGGGGACGAAACTGACAGGTCTGAGAGAAACCCAATCCGTAGGGAAAGGAGGGAGGGAGGGAAGAAGGAAGGAAGGAAGGAAGGAAGGAAGGA